AGTGGAGTTTGAGTTTAGGATCTTTTTCCATTGTTGTCCAGCAGCTTTCCTTATTAGATAATGCACCAGAATTACATGAAGCATCACTCTGTTGGTTGCATTACAGCTGGGATAATATTGTTCCTGTGGCTACAAGGTGAGTCTAAGATTAGTAAGTGCTGTGGCCACTGGTGTTGACTTAAGGAATTACACCACAGCAAGATTAATACAGAAAGTTTATTCGAACCAAGAGTTAGAGCTGCAGCCCAGAAACACTTCCTTGGGAAGTGCCCTGGAGAATAAGAAGAGACCCAAGCTTTTAAGGAAAAGAAAAGGAGGAATCCGGAGAGAGGACAAATTCTAAAGTTGTTTGTCAGGAATTCTCATTTATTTTCAGAAATAACATTGATTAGTGATTGGTTATACATTATTTAACTACAGGATATGTGGTATAGGGCACTGATAGGTTAAATCTTCACTAGTTGGTACAAGTCAGTCTAGAGCCCACAGAGCAAGCAGCTTCAAGAGGTGAATGCTTAGCTCAAGAACAACGTGACTGCAGTCACATTTCAACGTCTCTCTGGGCCAGATAATTTAAAAGGGATTTGCATTCCTCAGGAAAATTTTCTTTTCTTTCTGATTCTAAAAGATACACTGATAAAGCTTAGAGAATTTTTTTTAAAACACCTCATTGTAGGATCCCGAATTTATTTTGCAGAAGTTACAAGTCATGAACAGTTTTTAACACTCTTATAGGCAATCAGCAGGAGACCAATAGCAAATTGTCACAGACTCAACTACCTCAATCTCAACAACGTACATGACAGGTGTAAACAGAATTCAGAGAGTTCTGTGTGCTCAGCACATAGCAGGTTCTTAGTAAGTGTCACTATCCTTTGCCCATTCACTGTGTTGACTGCTGAGAGCCCTCAGGCCCAGGGAAATGTCTTTATTAATATCACACTGCTTGAGAGCTGCATATAGTGTAACTCTAACACGTTCTTGTTACCTTCTTTTTCATTTTAATTTCAAGCTTGCTTCTCCAATTTGTTACGGAATTATTTCCTATGCAGCAGAGAGTTTTCTTATGACAGGAAAACAACATTTCTAAAATAGCTTTCTAGATTAAAGCCAACCCAAATCAATTCATTTTAATTATATTGCTATGACCCACCTTGTCTGACGTTCTTCAGTTTGTGTGGTGGGAGAAAAAGCAGCTTGATAGTGACACCGTTCTCTGCTAACCTTCCATATAGTTATTTAAAACATGTAAGCATCAAACCATGTTCCGATAGTCTATCAGGCTATCAATAAGATTATGTCACTCATCAACAGGCCCTGCATTAAACCAAAACTCTTTCTGAAAGGAGAATCTCTTCCTTATCTGCCAAAATTCATGAGAAAGAAATTCCACATAACGCTTTATAGTATTAGTTCTGTACAGCTCCTACAGCTAGTCGTTTCCTTTACGGTGAAATGAGAAAACAACTTCACCAGCTCTTGTGAAATGTGTTCCTGTTTGCACATGTAGAGCTTAGATAAAACCTCTTTCTTTCCTATTACCTAGTTTCGCTGAAAACAGAACAAGACATTTTACACCTAATTCCCACAGGTTCTACCGCTGGAAGACAGAAGAGTGAATTGCTTTATTTTATATGTAGAACCTGTGTCACCAACCCTTAGATATTCCTCTTCCTCCCCTAATCGATCTCCTGTGTCCAGGTCCATGGGGGCCAATATCTTGGCCACTTCACTTCACTTTGCTGATCTGAGGATCAACTCAGTTCTGAACTTAAAGCAAATCAACCAACCCAGTCACGTCTGCTGCATTCAGCTGACACCCAGAATCAGACTAAAGAGAGTGTATTTAATATTCCAGAACATGATTTCAGAGCCATAAAATGTGTTAAATCATATTTATGAAAATTCTCTCATTTCGTGAGTTAGAGAAATCAGGATTAAATAAGCGCAGGAACCACGTACATGTGTTCGACTAAGTAATAGCAGAACCAGTCCCAGGGACAGCTTCCTGCCTACTGTCTAGTGAGTTCCCAGGGGGAATGATTGGTGATTTGACTAAATTAACTGATGTTATGATAAAACATTTTCTTCTACGTGTTAGGTGGGAGATAATTGATACGTGAAAATATTTATCCATTCAGCTCTTGTACTAAAGTGAAAGTTGACTCTTAGGGATAGTGTGAGGAAATGAGCATTTAGACTCACAGAGGAGAGTCTAGTCTGACAGGTATGCCACTAATTAAGAAGCGGAGTTGGGAAAAGTACTTGAGATTTCAGCCTCCTACTAATCTTTATAACTGGACTAATTTAAGGGTCATTCTAAGAATTAAATAGAATGATGTCTGCCAAATGTTTAAATAGTATCTGTTGCAGAGGAAGGGCTTAATAAACTTTAGAATCTCTTATCCCCTCTAATCCATACACTGGTTAACTAGAAAAGTGCCCATTTTTTTGGTGTCATATTATTCTTTTTTTATCTTTTAAGACACTAATTGTTCCATATTTTATGTCCTAAATAATAATTGGTACTGTAAAATTAAAGTCTGCATTCTCTGTTTCTTCCTTTAATTTTTTAGAATTATTATGGTTATATATGAATGCATATATTCACGAGGTACAGGTGATGTTTCAGTACAGGCATACAATGTGTAATGAGCAAATCAGGGTTTTGGGGATATCTATTACCTCAAGCATTTATTACTGTTTTTGTGTTAGGAACATGACAAGTCCACTCTTAGTTACTTTGAAATATTCAGTAAGTTATTCCTAACTATAGTCACCCTACTGTGTTACTAAATACTAAACCTTATTCATCCTGACTGTCTTTTGTACCCATTAACCATCTCTACTGTATCCCCTGCTCTGCTCCACTCATCCAAGCCTCTGGTAACAGTCATGCTACTGTATTTACTAACTTGTTTAATTTTTAATTTTAGCTCCCACATATGAGTAAGTACACTCAAAGTTTTTCTCTTTGTGCCTGGCTTATTTCATGTGATATAATGGATACTGAAAATGTAGTAGATGTACAGATTAGAAAACTAGTCAACCAAAAAAACAATGAAATCCTTTCATGTGCAACAACACTAACAGAACTGGAACTTAAGTAATGTTGGATGCCTGTTTCTCAGGCTGTAGATTTTGTCACCCTTTTGTCCTAGGAAAAGACGATGAGATGAGACTCAGTAAATACTGGATGTGAATATGATGCAGTACAAAACTGGACAAGGCTATTCCAATGCTTTAAATATGGACAGAAACACTTTTACCAACACCACTGATTGAATAAAGAATCCTTTCCCCGTTGCTTGTTTTTGTTGGATTTGTCAATGGTCAGAGGATTGCAGAGGTGTGCTGTTATTTCCGAGGCCTCTGTTCTGTTCCATTCGTCTATGGATTTGTCAATGGTCAGAGGATTGTAGGTGGGTGGTGTTATTGCCGAGGCCTCTGTTCTGTTCCATTAGTCTATGTGTCGGATTTGTCAATGGTCAGAAGGTTGTAGGTGGGTGGTGTTATTGCCGAGGCCTCTGTTCTGTTCCATTAGTCTATGTGTCGGATTTGTCAATGGTCAGAAGGTTGTAGGTGGGTGGTGTTTTGCCGAGGCCTCTGTTCTGTTCCATTCGTCTATGTGTCGGATTTGTCAATGGTCAGAGGGTTGTAGGTGGGTGGTGTTTTGCCGAGGCCTCTGTTCTGTTCCATTCGTCTATGTGTCTGTTTTGGTGCCAGTAGGATGTTGTGTTTGTTACTGTAGCCTTGAGTATAGTTTCAAGTCAGGGAGCGTGATGCCTCCAGCTTTGTTCTTTTTGCTTAGGATTGTCTTGGCTATGTGGGCTCTTTTTTGGTTCCATATTAAATTTATGGTAGTTTTTCCAATTCTGTGAAGAAAGTCAATGGTAGCTTGATGGGGATAGCATTTGGGACATAGGCATGGGCAAAGACTTCAGCACTAAAACACCAACAGCAATGGTAACAAGCCAAAATAGACAGATGGGATCTAATTAAACTAAAGAGCTTCTGCACAGCAAAAGAAACTATCATCAGAGCGAAAAGGCAACTATGAAATGCGAGAAAATTCTGCAATCTATCCATCTGAGAAAGGCTACTATCCAGAAACTACAAAGAACTTAAACAAATTTACAAGAAAAAGACAACCCCATATCAAAGGATATGAACAGACCACTTCTCAAAGGAAGACATTTATGCAGCCAACAATCATGTGAAAACAAGGTGATCATCACTGGTCATTAGAGAAATGCAAATCAAAACCACATTGAGATGCCATCTCACGCCAGTTAGAATGGTGATCTTAAAAAGTCAGGAGACAACAGATGCTGGAGAGGATGTGGAGAAATAAGAATGCTTTTATATTGTTGGTGGGAGTGTAAATTAGTTTAACCATTGTGGAAGACAGTGTGGGAATTCCTCAAGGATCTAGAACCAGAAATTCCATTTGACCCAGGAATCCCATTGCTGGACATATAGCCAAAGGATTATAAATTGTTCTACTATAAGGACACATGCACACGAATGTTCACGGCAGTACAGTTTCCAATAGCAAAAACCTGGAACCAACCCAAATGCTCATCGATGATAGACTGGACAGGGAAAACGTGGCACATATACACCATGGAATACTATGCAGCCATAAAAAATGATGAGTTCGCGTCCTTTGTAGGGACATGGATGAAACTGAGAACCATCATTCTCAGCAAACTGATACAAGAACAGAAAATCAAACACACATTGTTGAACAATGAGAACACGTGGACACAGGGAGGGGAGCATCACACACTGGGGTCTGTGGAGGGGGGAACTAGGGAAGGGACAGTTGCGGGTGGGGAGTTGGGGAGGGATAACATGGGGAGAAATGCCAGATATAGGTGATGGGGAGGAAGGCAGCAAACCACATTGCCATGTATATACCTATGCAACAGTCTTGCATGTTCAGCACATGTACCCCAAAACCTAAAATGCAATTAAAAAAACCATATATATATATATATATATATAAATAAAATAAGTAAATTTAAATTACTGGAAAATAAATTGACAATAATAAAATTGTTATGCTGAGTGCCAACTTCAGTTAGGTAATTTTCATTTCATTTTTGCATGACCAAACATAAACATTCTCACTGACAACATATTAGCAAAAGTATGTTCTTTTCAAAATTCATGTGGAAAATACCATGAATAATAATGGTTTTTTAGAATTATATATATATATTTGCAAAACAATTTTGCCCAGATATCAGTGATTTTCTTCTTCCCTTGATTACTTTTAGTTCTTGCACTCTAGGCATGAAATAATATTTCAAGTACTATACATTGCTGAATGGACACATATCTGAGTCCTGGGACCTTAGGCGGAAAGTGTTTCTGTATTTTCACCGAGCAGATTCTCTGACTCACTCACTTCAGGGCCCCCATCACCTCCTTGTTTCTCAGGCTGTAGATGATGGGATTGAGCACTGGAGTGAGGATGGTGTAGAAGACAGCCAGAGCTTTGTCCTCTGTTGGAGATCGCAGGGATCTTGGACGTAGATAGGTGTAGAGAAAAGGCACATAGTAGAAGGTTACTATAGTGAGGTGGGAGCTGCAGGTCACATAGGCCTTCTTCCTTCCCTCTGCAGAGTGCATGCGGTAGACAGCAAGGAGAACCCGGCCATAGGAGCATGCAATACCAATGAAGGGAAACACGAGAAAGATGGCAGTGCTCAAAAACACTGTGCCCTCATAGACCCAGGTGTCCATGCAAGCCAGAGTCACCATGGCTGGGACATCACAGAAGAAGTGATTGATGGCCCTGGATCGACAATAAGGGATATGGAATATATACACAGTGTGAGCACAAGCATTGATAGAGCCTATGAGCCAAGATCCAGTTATCAGCAGCACACACACTCTTTTGCTCATGTGGATGAGATAGTGGAGAGGAAAGCAAATAGCAATGTAACGATCGTAGGCCATAGAGGCCAAAAGTAGCGCTTCTGCGCCTCCTAATGCCAAGAAGAAGTCCTGAATCCCACACCCAATGAAGGAGATAGACTTGTTTCCATACAGAAAATCAGATGCCATCTTAGGAACAATGGTGGAGATGTAATTTAGGTCAATGAGAGAGAGCTGACTAAGAAGGAAATACATGGGTGTGTGGAGATGGGTGTCCAAGAAGATGAGAAGAATCATGGATAGGTTTCCAATTAGAGCCATTAGGAAAATGAGAACAATGAGAATGAAGAGGAAAAGGCCAATTCTTGATGGTGGGAACAATCCCAATAAGATGAAATCAGTTGATGTTTGAGTATAGTTTTCCATGGGGCATTCCTACCATTTTTTCCTGAAGGGAGACACAAGGCTAAGTGAAGAGGCTGCCCTTAACCCAAGGCTGTAAATGGGATTCTATTCATTTCTTTAAATGTTTGCTGGGAGTGTTAAGGATCATTTCAACGGAGAAAGATACAAATATATTTATTCAGATTCTCCCAATATTGTTGTGTCTCAAAATTTTATGGAATCCTGTATTTTATACGTTGTTATTCGGTAAGTACATTGTAATACGTGTCTACATATATTAATTTGTTAATTTTCATTTTATTGTCTAGCAACTAAATACATTAAAATGGAATGTGGTGAATTTAAAATACACATATTACCACAAATTCTTATAATATCTTACATATGGGGAACAATTTTTAATTTGCTGTATTATTAATTTTCAAATCTTTCTCATTATGGTCCAAATTGCTATTGAATTATAAAGACATTATTAAATTATAAAATAAGAATTAGAAGAAAAATACAACTTATTTTGCTGGGACATAATTTAGAAAATATTCAATGTCGCATTTTTTATTGCAGGCAATGCCTTGAATGTTCTTTGACTTCCCATGATGTCCAATAATTGAATTTCTCTTGGGACAGGGTCTTACTGGTTCTGTTTAAGAATTTTTCTATGAAATTTTTGTGGCAAAATATACATTACATAAAATTTATCATTATAATTTTGGACTATACCATTCATAACATTAAGAAGGTTCACAGTTTTTCTCCTTTTCAGTATTTTTTATCATGAAGAAAAGGTATAGATTCCCAGTTCTGTGCAACCGTCAACACCTCCACATTTTTTTAAATCACCCCAACTATATCCTCTCATACTGTAAATAATCTGTCCCCATTCTCACCTTCTCCGAGTCCTTCTAACCACTATTCCACTTTAAATATATTTTAATTGCCTCCTCCAAGTTCCTCTTAAAGGTGGAATTGTACAATATTTGGCTTATTTATATGTGGCTTATTTCAATTAAAATAATGTTCTTAAGGTTCTATGTGGTAGCTTATATCAGAATTTCATTCTTTTATGAGGCCAAAAAATATTTTTTTGTATTCATACATCATACTTTTTTCCATTCATCCCCTTTAGACATTTGGGTTATTTACCTTTTGGCTATTGTGAATAATCTTGCTATGAACATTGGTATCCAAATATCTGTTTCAGTGTCTGTTCTCAATTATTCCTTGTATATACCTGGAAGTGGGATCCTTAATATATGTTTTCACAATGTTCTTTAAAAACTTTTTGTACCATATTTCATGAACGCCTACAGTATGTTATGATGTGCAATTCACGAAAACATTGTTAACATAAATAGCATTGTTTTAAAATTTCCAATTGTGAAAGGCAAAATAATGACTTTTCATTTGTTAAAGTTTCATCTATATCTTCATATCTTATGTTAAATATGTAATGATATTTCTCTAGTATAAACAGTTAACATGTTATAATAAAATTAACTTGGACATTTCCTTCATTAAAATGTTTTTCTAGTTTCTGCTATGAATCACACCATTTAGGGGAGAAGCGCTCAGAGCAGCAGCTGAGCCGTGGAGAGGAGGCCCCTAAGCCTGCCCCATACCTGAGCTGCTGATGGGAGAGGAGGCGGCCTGACCGTGGGAACAAGACGGGAGACTGTGAAGACCATCCCCATCCCCACGGGAGCCTCTCCCCAGATACCTTGGTCCAGAACGCGCCCGCTGCCCTTCCGGAGGAGACACCAGTGTGAAGAGCAGAGCCCTATGCTTTGGAGAGGGTCTTCATGTGCTCATTGTGGTCGGCGTCAGGGGAACGGGTCTACCCTGGACCCACAAGCCCGCGCCCACAGCCGAAGACGCCCCCCGGGTCCTGCAGCGGCGTGTCCTCCGGAGCCCGGAAGTGAGCCCTGTGCAGGCGCGGAAGATGCTAAGGAGGCGCCACCTGCTGTGCCGGGTCCGCCATTGGCTCCAGGAGCGGTGAAGGCAGCGGGAACCTGGGCCAAGGCGCCTTCGGCGACGTGGTGAGTGCTTGGGCCCTGCAGGAAGGAAGTCTCGGGTTGCTCTGAAGGTCATCCGCAATGTGGGCGAGTACTGGGAGGCGGAACCACCAGAAATCAACGCTCTCCAGAAAAATAAGGGAGGACTAAGAACCAGCTCCTGTGCGTCTTGGTGTGTGGCTGGTTCACCTTCCAGGCCTCCGAGCGCCTGGGCAGAAGCACCTTGAGCTGCCGAGGAGAATCACTTCCAGCCATTCCCCTATCACATGTCTGGCACGTGGCCTACCCGCTCTGCCACACGCTCGGTTTCTGCGTGAGAACCGGCTGACCCACACGCACATGAAGCCCGAGAACATCCTGCATGTGAATTGTGAGTTTAACACCGTCTACAGCGAGCCCAGGAGCGATGAGGAGTCAGTGAGGAGCAGCAGCGTCCGAATGGCGGCTTCCACGGTGCCACCTCTGACCGTGAGCATCACACCGCCGTGGCGGCCACCGGCACTGTCGCCTGCCTGAAGCAATCCTTGAGCTGCGGTGGACACGCCCCTGCCATGTGGGGCATGGGCTGCATTCTCTTGAAGTACTACCAGGGTTTCCAGACTTATGAAAACCAAAAGCACCCTAGGGCCCATCCCATCAAGCATAATGTGCTGTACCAAGAAGCAGAAATTTTCCTACAAAGGGGGCCTAATTTGGGATGAGAACATCTCTGACGGCTGGTATGCGAAGAACTGTAAACGTCTGAAGAGTGACAGGCTCCAAGATTCTCTGGAGGACGTGTAGCTGTTTGACCTGATGAGGAGGGTGGTAAAATCGGACCCTGCCCAGCACATCACACTGGCTGAGACTCTTCTGCACCCCTTCTCTGCTGGCTTGACCCCTCTGGAATGGTCCTTCCACACAAGCCCCAACCCAAGGAGATGACAGGCACAGGACACCGCATGAGGAAAGCAGCACTGGGCTGCCCAGCCCACATTCTCCAGCCCCACTATCAGATCCCAAAGCCAGAACCACCCAATGGACAGTGCAATGTAAAGCAAGCCAGGAGCCTGCAGGGGGCAGACTTGGTGCCCAGCTGCCAGAAAACACAGATTTGACACAAGCTGTTTATGTTTAGTTACAAAGTGCATCTTATTGTTTGTTTAAAAAATTTTTTTTGATGAATTCTCAATAGAAATATTTATTGTCGTCTTTGAAATAACTTTTAGGATAAATTGCTAGAAGAGTTTGTAAAATATAATCCTATATGTATAAATGAAATCAGACATTTTTTATGATATTCTTATTTAATATTGTATAGTTGCTTCTAGCATAGGATGAGTAATTCAATTTTAACACTACTTATATCTGTATATGTGTGTACGTATATATGTGTGTGCATATATATGTATATATATAAAATTTTACTAAACAAAGGTGTTCACAAACCAAGCAAAGAATAATGGAGATTTCACATCAAATTTGTGAATTTTTGATAAATGATTTTTAGCAACATAATTTTACAAAGTTTTATGAAAATAAACATTATTTTAATAAACAATGGATGTGTGATTGTATTTTTAAAGATATTCTTATCAAGTCTTACAATTTTAGTATTAGGGAGTAGGACGCCTTGGGTAATTTTTGCTTCCTGTAACCGCTGCATGATTATAATTGGTACCACAGAAGGAAGAATACATTTTTAGAGGTATGTGTTTACAACACAAACACGTTATTATCCATTATTAACAAGGTTTCTGAAATATTCACTTCTTTCCATATGGACAAGATAGAAGCCTTGATTGTCTTTCTAGAAAACCTATGATTGTCTTTCTAGAAAACCTATCATGAGTATCCTTCAGGTATTTAATGTAGAAATAGAACACACATTCAGGAATTTTCCTATTTATTTTTCATGCAGAAACTTGCTTTTGAGCATATTTTTCATCGCAGCCAGAACATCTTGATTCCTAAAGCTGTAGATTATAGGATTGAGTGAGGGTGTGAGGATCGTATAGAATATTGCCAGGAACTTATCCTGGCCTGGAGTGTGGTATGATTTAGGTCTCATATACGTAAAAATAAATGGCCCATAGTACATCAGGACCACAATCATGTGGAAAGAACAAGTGGAAAATGACCTTTTCCTTGCCTCTGAGGATTTCATCTGGAGGACAGTAAGAACAATCTGGCCATAAGAAGCAGAGATCAAGGAGAAAGGGATCAGCAGGAAGATCATGCCACTTACGTAAACCCCTTGTTCATAGCGTGTTGTATCTACACAGGATAACTTCAACATGGCAGGGACTTCACAGAAAAAGTGATCGATTGCCCGAGAGCCACAGAAGGGAAACTGCAGTGTGTAAGCTGTGTGGACTGTGGAGTTGAAAGCCCCAACAAGCCAGGAGCCTCCAGCCATGAGAGCACTGGCATACTCCTTCATAAGAATCGGATAGCGCAGCGGGTGACAGATGGCCACATAGCGATCATAGGACATTGCAGCCAGGAGAAGGCACTCACCACCCAGGAGGGTGAGGGACAGAAACACCTGGAACCCACAACCTGCAAGTGAAATCGTTCTGCTGCCTGACAGAAAGTCAGTGACCATTTTGGGAACGATGTTGGAAACATGCAAGATATCCATAACGGAGAGATGGCGGAGCAGAAAATACATTGGAGTGTGGAGTCGTGAGTCACTGCAAATAAGGAGAATCATGAAGGCATTTTCTGTTACACTCATAATGAAAATGACAAATATAAGTGAGTAGAAGACCAGACTTGTTGGGGAAGAAGAGAACAGTCCCAAAAGTGTGAAATCGCTACTGAAGGTGTGATTCGGCCAGCCCATCATGAATTCTCTATTTTTTTTTTTTACCTAAAAAGAGATAACAGAGGAAAAAATTGTGTAAATCTTAATCTAATAATAGTATACCTGCATAAAAAAATGAGAGTGAGTGATGCCTATTTTGTGATCAACATGGAAGGACTCTTAGCCGGTCCTTGGAGTGGGCATGTTTTACAAGACGGACAGTTATTTGTTCAGACCAATTGATATTCAGAATATTGAGTGGGCCCTTGGCTCCATGGTGAGTCTCCTAATCTTAATTAATTCTGTAATAATTTACTCAAGACTACTCTTTTCTCAAATGTCACCTTCTCAAGGAGGCCTACCTTGCCACACCCTTTAAGAAATGTAAGGATGCCACTTGAACCCAAATTTCCTGGTCCTCCTTGCTGTGCTCCATTTCCCCATGTTTGCATATCACTTTAAACCTTCTAGTCCATTAAATAATAAACACATTGGTTATATTAACTGTTTATTTTCATTCTGTGACAGAATTTTACCTTCACAATGACAGATCCTTGTTCTGTTCACTGGTATAGCCAAATGCCTGGAGCAGTGCCTGGTGCATAGCAGTTGCTCAGTAATGTTTGTGGAATATTTGAATGACATGAATGAATGGTGGAACTTAATTTTCTGTCTAATGCATTTACTATTTAGATTAATTTATAGAAAATAAAATGTATAATTCTAAGACTTTTTCCAAGATAATAAGTAATGAAATATTGTCACAAAACCCAATGTTTGTAATTTGAAACACTATATTTTAAATGTAAAAAATAGAAGTATCATTTAGTCAACATCAACAATGTATCTTTAAGGATATGATTTACATTTTCCTGTTTTGTTAACTTGTAGAAATTGAATTATAATTTATTAATTCTATGTGCAGAATAGTAGGTGTTTACATTATCTATATTTTGATAGTGGTTTTTAAATTGTTACAATATAGTTATTTGTGTACCTCCTGTATGTATATTTCCCTCAGCATAAATACATATATATACACGCACATATTAATATGTAAATTATAACATTTATAAATCTATCAGTCCAGGTTTCTGTCCTTCAGTAAATTTTATAATCACAAAACAATTAACAAACGTTCAAAAATTAGTTTCCATCTTATTAACAACTACTTAAGTTTGAATAAAATGAGCTTCGATTTTCCCTTTTGTAAGATAAAGTCAAACGTAGGTCACCAACAATATACAAATAGATTTTTATTTTAATTTTTGTGAATATTGAGATTCTTCATAAATAAATTACAGACCACTTCGTTCTATTTTAATTCCCTTGAATAACAACAGTGGTGTGTTACAACTTTAAGAGTTAGAAACGATAAGCACCTCAATAAGGTTTACAGATATATGTGTAATTAGTGCTGCCTTTTAATTTTCTTTTGTTGTTTTTGAGACGGAGTCTTGCTCTGTTGCCCAGGCTGAGTGTAGCAGTGTGGTCTCAGCTCACTGCCCCCTCAGGCTCCTGAGTTGAAGCAATTCTCAAGCTGCAGCCTCTGAGTAGCCGGGACTACAGGCACCACTACCACACCCAGCTATGTTAGTAGAGACGGGGTTTCACCATGTTGGTAGGCTGGTCTCAAACTCCTGACTACAAGAGACCCACCCACCTTGTCTTCCCAAAGTGCTGCGATTACAGGCGTGAGCCACCACGCCCAGCCAGTCCTTCCTGTTTTGACTGTTTTGATGCATGGCTTTGTAAAATTTGATGATATGCATAGATTCAGACATAAGGGCAGTGGTACCTTGCATGAGCTGATCATAAATAAATTTGCAAAATCAATAAATATTGCTGACAACTCAAAATCAACATTCCTGTATCCAAAGTTCTTAACTTTCCCCACCCCTGGAGTCATATCATTCTTCTGACTTTACTTGTTTAATTAATGATTTATTTATTGTTGTAGTTCCATGTCTTACTGGATCAACAATTCTTAGACGACTTCCTCACCCATTTTAAGTCTCATTAATTCCTTTTTGTAAGAATGATTTAAATTTTTTAGTGGTCTTTGAGTAAAAACATTTTCAGCTAAACATAAATTCTCCTTCTCTGTATTTCATACAGGCTTTTACATTTTTTAGAGCTCATATCACCTACACAGTAATACCTGTATTTTTTCTTCATAAACTGGAAGCAATCCACAATTTATTTATTATCTACCTCCTTCAGCTTACTTCCAAGACTTACGACAACTATCATGAGGCACCTGAAATTTCTGCAACCTGTCTTTCATGTCTCTTGACCTGAAATATACTCCCATGATGATGGAATGATTAAAGAAAGCCTATCTTCTATGTTGCTCAGGAGTATTCCAATTTTGGGTGAAATCTGCCATTGTATACAAAGAGGAATGCTCTATTACTGAGCTCTATTACAGCATTCTTAATTCCATGTTTGAAAGTGGAGAAAACACATATCACCTATCCTGTAGCTTCTTCCCCACACATGCAACCTTTGCCAAGGTAAAGTTCATTTCTCACCCATCTAGCTCCAAGTATTCCTTGTTAATAATGCTAAATGTAGGCAAAAAACATAAAATACACTCTACATCCATGTCTTTTCTGTAAGCTTGGAGATTAATCAGAGAACGTGCTCTTCTCAGGATTTTGTTTTAACTTTTTCAGTTTTTTAGATCTGTAATTTTCAGGAAATTCTTTCATTGTCCAAATCTGTTCACATCTTTACATATACTTAAAGTTTTATCATTTGGAAGAAGCAGTCAGACAGTCCAGTCTAAAATTTAACCAGTGGTCATTATACTTCACATAAACTGAGCATAAGAAGAGCCACTTTGATTTGAAGAAACACACATCATGATTATGGAGAAAGAAAAAGTGACACCAGCATAAATCGTGTATGTAATTTCATACTAAATTTAACACAAACAAAAGAATAGGCCACAGTTTTTTCCAGATGCATCATACTTTTTTCAAATGACAAGTGTATGTGATTAAATGTGTGTGCGTGGGTGTGAGTGACCGTGGGTATGTGTGTGAGACCTTCCCACATCAAATGTCTTCATTTTACAATCATTTCAGCTCCTTATTTAGCCAATTATTCCAAATAGTTTGTACATGTAGCTAAATTGTTTAATGTTGTCAGTGGACCCACTTCAGAGTCAGCATGTTTCTTCCCATTAGTGAATTAAACTGTTCCTTTCTGGTTACCATGCAAATGTTCCCTTGACTTTACTCCTGCTTGAAAATGACTTTCTATGTACAGACCCCATCATGTCCAGGTCTCCTTTCATTCTCTTCACTCACTGACTCACTACACTCATATCTTTTTGAGCATTTTATATTTATGAAGTTTGGTAAAACACTGCACATTCATTAATTTAGACTTAGTTCAACTAAAACATACTGTTTCATTTATTTGCCACATCTCTCCTTATACTGATAAAGCACACAACATGTTTCTTTAAATTTTTATTTACTGAGAGGTCAATTGTTCACTAAAATTGATATGATTTTACAGTCAAATGTTAAGCAGTTGTTTGCTCCTACATTACTTATTTACATTAAATGTCTGACTGCAAGACAAACACTAGACAAAGAATAAATCATTGAATCTACTTTGTCTGAAAAATACTTATCTTGAAAAGTATATGAAATTGAACTTCTAGGGAATATTAAATATGTTTGCATATTTCTATGTTATATTGTATGAGAATGATATTTTTACCTTTTCAACTTTCTATGAACCCATAATATGAATGTCCTCCTTGCTATTATAACTATAAGCTTTATCATAAAAGCTTCAAATATCAGAGTTGATGAATTAGTGACTGACTAATAAAAAAAAATGGTCACTGGTAATTCACCGAACTACAGTGGAATCTCATAGGAGAGGCAAAAGTCAAATACTAAATTAACCTAAATATGGATGAAATTTAACTATGACTTTTTTTTTTTTTTTTTTTTTGAGATGGAGTTTCACTCTTGTTACCCAGGCTGGAGTGCAATGGCGTGATCTTGGCTCACTGCAACCTCCGCCTCCTGGGTTCAGGCAATTCTCCTGCCTCAGTCTCCCAAGTAGCTGGGATTACAGGCATGTGCCAGCATGCCCAGCTAATTTTTTTTGCATTTTTAGTAGAGACGGGGTTTCACCATGGTGACCAGGATGGCCCGGATCTCTTGACCTCGTGATCCACCTGCCTCTGCCTCCCAAAGTGCTGGGATTACAGGCTTGAGCCACCGTGCCCAGCCTTTTAACTATGACGTTATATAGAGCAGATACAGGTATAATACAAATATAATGGATGTTACTTAGCTCAGGAATTGGTATGCTACCGACTCATATATTTAATTAATAAAATAATATTATCAATTTCCTAGTGCTTTGAAACAGATAAACAAGAAAATGTAATGCAAATATAATATCCTAAAAATAGAGGAGGACTCAAGATGGCGCTGTGAGAACAACCCAGGATTGAAGCTCTCAGTCAATGCGCGGAGAGGGTGAGTCAGGGCCGCATTTCCAGACGGATCTTTGTTGCCCACAGAACGGGGAAATTCCCAGGTATAAAAGAGACGCGGGACTCCAGGCAGAGGCTTTAGCTGGTGTGGTGGCAGCCGGCGCTGTAGCGCAGCGGCGCTACACAGCACCCCGCACAAACTGCACTGGTCCGGGTGCCCAGTTGAACCGGCAACCTGAGACTTGAGAGGGCTGAACTTGAGACTAAATGGGACTTGAACAGTGAGCCAGCCCAGGATATTCCAGGGACACAGCGTTTGGGGTAGTGCAGTGGGACTAACAAAACGGTGATTCAAAACACTCCCGGTGGAGAGGTTCCCTGAGGGCGCAGCTCCGTGGGGGAGGAGTGTCCGCCATTACCGAAGCAATCACCCCTACTGAGGTACACGCCCATTGCTGACACAGCCTGCCATTGCCGAGGCAACCCGCTACAACAGAGAGCCTGTGCCGCAGGGCGTAGCCTGTGGCAGCAGGGCGGAGACCGCAGCAGAAGGGCAGAGCCTGCAGCAACAGGGCAAACCTCACACCAGCAGGGCGTAGCCTCGGCAGGCAAATAGTGACTAGACTGCCTCCTAGCTGGGCAGAACAGCACAGCGGACACTCAAAAATAAAGC